TCAAGAACACGAGACCCTCTGCCGGCCAAAGCTGAAGGACGTTCGAGGGTGCCCTCCCCAGGATGCACAAGAGCATCCAGCAAACACGAAGAACAGCAGGGTACCGCGTTGACCTAGCATGCAACAGACCAGCTCACGAATCCGCATCCAATGAACCATGCGAGCTACATGCGCGGGCCGCCACGCGCGCGTCGAACCCCTTCAAAACCAATGGTTGTCGAAGCATTTCACCATGGGGCTCTTCAAACACATGTGGAAAAAAACAGCTGTCCTGTCACCAAAGATTGACCGAATCATTGAATGTCTGTGCATGCGCGCCCATCCCATCACCATCATAAGCGCCATCGCATCACCGTTTGTATCGTCGTCCTCAATTGCCACTATTGCTGCCATCATCATCACAATCACATGAATCACCGACACATGGGTATCATCATCGTCTTTGTCGACATCAGCATCGGCGCCGTCATTGGCCTTGCCGTCGTCGTCGTCGTCGACACCATCGCCGTTGCCGCCGTTGTCGACATCATCATGAGATCGCGCCCGCCTGGGCCAACCATCCTCACTGAAGTGCCCGCGCGCCAACGCGGCCTTGGAAACGCACCTGCAAGTTCCCTTCGGTAAGTGCCATCGCGCCGCAGAAATTGTGACAAACGAGCTGGTCGATCTGCGCGCGAGCGTGCGCGCACCAGAGCAGCCGTAAAGACGAGCTAGCAAGTTCCAATCGGGAGCAGCAATCGTGGCCGAATGTGTTACGAGCAGTGGAGCTGGTGCCTCCAAAATGTGCGCAGAAACTGTGTACGCAAAATATACTACACGACATATCGTGCACGACATACACTCCACCACAAAGCTTCCACCAAGCATCATGAAGCATTACACCACGTCTCGTCCACCATATAGTTTGTTCATCGAGAATGCAGGAACCTGCCGTGTGGGGCCCTCGCTGTAAACATGTGTGTAGCTTGTGAACTTCCGCGTGCACAAACACACCTATGCACACATGCAGATTTGCGCTGTTCGGCCGAATACAACCAAAAAATTGAACCCAGGGGCCTCAGAGAGGGTCCGGGAGGCACCCAACAAACCACCAGGCGGCATAAGGCATAAGACACCCCCCAAAATAGCCCAGAAAGCCTCGCGGCCCTGGAGGGCCCCAAAATAGCCCCAAGATGAGCTTCGAGTGCTCATAGAAGGCTCCAGGGGATACGGCCCTACAGACCCCCCAAGGGGATCTAAGAGGTTCCCAACCAACAGAACCCCGAAAATGCCCCAAAACAGACCCAATACGAATTCTATGCTTGGCCACACGAAAGTCGAGGCCATATCCCCGAATACACAATCATCGGTTGGTATGCGTGCCTGTATCGCCATCGGGGCCCGCCGTGACGTGAGCTCGACAAAAGAAGTCACATGAACTTGATGATGGCAATCATGGGGCCAAGCGCGCTGCTTTTACGCATCGACAGTCCACTTCAGACTCCCACTCAAGGTAGGCGTCCAAGCGACCTCCTGTTTACTCTGGACATTCCCATTATCATGCAACAAAGCTTTGAGCCGACATCGGCGACGAAAGTCGAGGACACTCCTCCCCCGTCCCCCATGCACTTCCGCTCGAATATGGGTTTCGCACTCAGGCGGGGCATTGGGCACTGGAGCGGAGTCACCGATCGCCGGAAAGAGTCTGATCACTGGATTCGCTCTTCAAGCCTAGTCACCGATCGGGCTGATCTCTGCGGTTCTATAGACGAATCTGCTCCGTAGATCTACGGAGCATTCTACGTTTTTCGACTAGGCTCGGCGGAAAAATCCTGGCGAAGGACTCAACCACATGCAGTTGTGGCTACCGCAATTGTCAAGATCTTCTTCGGTGAAGCTCCCTATGGGGCCACGAAGCGCTGCACTGGGTGGGGGGGGAAGCATGCGGGCGGTAGCACTGGGGCCGTCGGTGGAGCTCCCTATGGGGCCACGAAACGCTGCACTGGGTGGGTGAAAATGCCAATTTGCGTGTGTGGGACGCATGCGGGCGGTCCCACTGAAGGCTTAGCTCCCCATGGGGCCACGAAACGGTGTGATGGGCAGGTGAAAATGCCAAAGTGGGCGTGTGGGGCGCATGCAGGCGGTCCCACTGGGGGGTTCGGTGGAGTTCCCTGTGGGGCCACCACGACGCGCTGGGTGTGAAAATGCAAAAATGAATGTGTGGGACGCATGCGGGCGGTCCCCCTGGGGTTTCGGTGGAACTCCCTGTGGGGCCACGAAACGTTGCATTGGATATTTGAACATGCTAAATTAGGGGTGTGGGACGCATGCGGGCGGTCCCCCTGGGGGCTTCGGTGGAGCTCCGTATGGGGCCACGAAACGCTGCACTGGACGGGTGAAAATGCCAAACTGGGCGTGTGGGGCGCATGCGGGCGGTCCGTCTGGGGGCCCGCAGCGCTGCTGGGTGGGTGAAAATGCCACATTGGGTTTCGGGACCCACGCAGACGGTGGCATTGGGGCCTTCGGTGGGCCTCCCTATGGAGCCACGAAACGCTGCACTCGGTGGGTGAGAATGCAAAATTCAGTTTTCGGGACGCATGCGGACGGTCCCACTGGGGGCACGAAACGCTGTACCGGGTGGGTGAAAATGCCAAAATAAATGTTCGGGACGCACGCGGACGGTCCCAGTGGGGGCTTCGGTGGAACTCCCGATGGGGCCACGAAGCGCTGTACTGGGTGGGTGAAAATGCCAAACTGGGTTTTCGAAACGCATGCGGACGGTCCCATTGGGGGCTTCGGTGGAGCTCCCTATGGGGCCATGAAACGTTGTGCTGGGCGTGCGAAACTGCCACATTACGTTTTCGGGACGCATGCGGGCGGTCCCCCTGGGGGCTTCGGTGGAGCTCCATATGGGGCCACGAAACGCTGCACCTGGACGGGTGAAAATGCCAAATTGGGCGTGTGGGGCGCATGCGGGCGGTCCGTCTGGGGGCACGAAGCGTTGCACTGGGTGGGCGAAAATGCCAAATTGGGCTTCCGGGACGCATGCGGGCGGTCCCACTGGTGGCTTCGGTAGAGCTCCCTATGAGGCCACGAAGAGGTACGGGGTGGGTGAAACGCAAAGAGCAGGGGGGAGGAAAACAACGCAGGTGGCAATTGACGCCATCATAGGAAGTTGTAAAGGTGTGGAGGTACGTTGGGCCCTCCTCTAAGGACGTTTTCGTTGGTCGAGGGTCCGTGGAGGAGTCCTCGGCCCCTTCCATTGGCTATTGACGCCTTCGTGTAAAGGTGCGGGGGGGGACTCACGCAGCCCCTATGATGGAAACTGCGCGGGGTGTGAGGCCTATTGACGGTTCTCACCCGGGGGGGCGCGAGAGGGAGGGGGCGCGCGCGCTTCTCGGCGAGGTGTCTCCTGCTGACGGTCCTGAGGCGGGATTCCTGAAAAAGGGACCCCAAACTGCATACACAGCTTCGCCTCCGAGACATAGAATGCCTTGCGCACTCGGGGAAGGGAAGGAGGGGGGAGGGGGACCCCAGGGGGGAGGGGGGACCCCAGAGGGGGAGGGGGGACCCCAATGTGTTAATCTCTGTTTGGGCAGCGTGGCCGATGCAGGAGGGCATTTCGTTAACCGCCGTCGCCTCATTGTCTATGGCTTCCGAGCGCATGAAAACCAATATTCTCGGCGAGGTGGCTCCTGCTGAAGGTCCTGAGGCGGGATTCCTGAAAAAG